GAGTCACTGATACGTGGCTGTCCTCATGCATATGGATGTATGGTGGCTTGCAATCCTTTTGCTGCTCTTGTGCCTTGCTTGGGTGCACGCTGCTTGACGGTCAGGTGCTGCGGGCGTCCGGTCCCCTCCACCTAACATTATACTGGCAGCCAGAGCACTGGGCTGGTATCGCTGCTTGTTCGTGGCCAGAAACTCGACGTCATGAGCACCTAGGTACTGGCCTGCACATTATTATGGTCATTTGGCATGACTCAGTGCCTATTCCTCTAATAAAATTACTGCGCTATGACGACAACTTAGAGGCTGTTTATGACACCTCATGATTATAACTACTCCAAAAAACGACTTCTTCTTCCACCGAGCGCTCTTGACCTGCTGTGGCATGCTAATTTGCAGTCGCTGTGATGATCCTGGTCTCCCGGGTTTTCTCTTCCACCTGTTCCAGACTGCTCCCTACTGCAGGGCGAACCTCCGCCTCCCAACGCGTTCTTCGCGCTCGCTGATGTCGCTACCTGTTTGTTTGTTTTCTAGCTTGCTGTCCTCTGGCCGTGACGACAATGGTCCATGGGGGTTCCTGACCCCAAACATCTCCCGCTAGCTGGGAGACGGATGGATCTGTTCTGAGCCATGAAACGCATCCCTGTGTGTCGATGATGTCGCTACCTGTTTGCTTGCTTTTGCTGTCCTCTGGCCGTGACGACAATGGTCCATGGGGGTTCCTGACCCCAAACATCTCTCGCTAGCTGGGAGACGGATGGATCTGTTCTGAGCCATAAAACGCATCGCTGTGTGTCGATGATGTTGCTACCTGTTTGCTTGCTTTTGTTGTCCTCTGGTCGTGACGACAATGGTCCATGGGGGTTCCTGACCCCAAGCATCTCCCGCTAGTTGGGAGACGGATGGATCTGTTCTGAGCCATGAAACGCATCCCTATGTGTCGATGATGTCGCTACCTGTTTGCTTGCTTTTGCTGTCCTCTGGCCGTGACGACAATGGTCCATGGGGGTTCCTGACCCCAAACATCTCCCGCTAGCTGGGAGACGGATGGATCTGTTCTGAGCCATGAAACGCATCCCTGTGTGTCGATGATGTCGCTACCTGTTTGCTTGCTTTTGCTGTCCTCTGGCCGTGATGACAATGGTCCATGGGGGTTCCTGTCCCAAAGCATCTCCCGCTAGTTGGGAGACGGATGGATCTGTTCTGAGCCATGAAACGCATCGCTGTGTGTCGATGATGTCGCTACCTGTTTGCTCGCTTTTGCTGTCCTCTGGCCGTGACGACAATGGTCCATGGGGGTTCCTGACCCCAAACATCTCCCGCTAGCTGGGAGACGGATGGATCTGTTCTGAGCCATGAAACGCATCCCTGTGTGTCGATGATGTCGCTACCTGTTTGCTTTTTTTTGCTTTCCTCTGGCCGTGACGACAATGGTCCATGGGGGTTCCTGACCCCAAACATCTCCCGCTAGATGGGAGACGGATGGATCTGTTCTGAGCCATGAAACGCATCCCTGTGTGTCGATGATGTCGCTACCTGTTTGCTTGCTTTTGCTGTCCTCTGGCCGTGATGACAATGGTCCATGGGGGTTCCTGACCCCAAACATCTCCCGCTAGCTGGGAGACGGATGGATCTGTTCTGAGCCATGAAACGCATCCCTGTGTGTCCATGATGTCGCTACCTGTTTGCTTGCTTTTGCTGTCCTCTGGCCGTGACGACAATGGTCCATGGGGGTTCCTTACCCCAAACATCTCCCGCTAGTTGGGAGACGGATGGATCTGTTCTGAGCCATGAAACGCATCGCTGTGTGTCGATGATGTCGCTACCTGTTTGCTTGCTTTTGCTGTCCTCTGGCCGTGACGACAATG